TATGACACAATTTATAACAAAGACTAACGACTTTCACTCTTTCTTCAAAACATCAAGATAAAATAAAAACAGACCAATTAAGTATTACTAATATAGCTTTAATGCTTAGATCATTTTTGATATATTCATCATAGATAAAAATGTTTAAACAGATCGCCAACATGGCCACTTTGCTATTGTCTCAATTTTAATTGTTTTCCCACTCCATAGGAGCGCCACTGACAACAGCATGTATATTTATCCCTGGGTTTAATTCTAGATTGATATGAATATATAATATAAAAAAGATAACCCTGATTAATTTGAATAAATGAAATGAGAACAAATTTATTTTGTACGCGTATATATAAAATATATTTTCAAATATTTTCACAGAAATATAGAGAAGCTAGGGGCAATCTGTAACGACAGTAACTAGTGGCAGGCGTTTTTTAATAGGCTCTTTAACGATAAATATTTTGTTTGTCTCCATTGGACATTTAAACCATCATAATGAACAGAATTGTGCAGGTCTGTCATTTTCGACTGGTAATATGAAATTGATCTATCCCTATATAATAACAAAACCTTATCTCCCCTGCGATAAAATATTAAACGTTTAAAGTACGAGTATTATAATTAGAGAATCAGTTCTTCAAAAAGAGTAATGAATTTCGGCTTACCATGCCCTCTCTTAAGTCTGCAAAACACTAAAACATGTTAAAGCACATTTGTTCTGCACTTTACATGGCTTTAGAATAATTTGAAAAATTATAAACAACTAAAAAAACGATTTCTTTCTTCAAGACACAAATTAATTATTATCAATATAACTAATGAGATAAAATAAGTTAAATGTTATTCTTGTAGTCGTATTTACGTCAACAAAGCAAATCAAATCAAAACACACAAAAAACTACAATTTGAATTAAATTGTTGTTACTCTAGCGAAAAAAGTACATTGATAAAATAGTAAGCGATCGCTAAAATACCATGAGAAAATGAAAGAATTTTAGTATCAATTTTAGCAATTTTTAAAATAAAATCAGTATTCACTAAAATCTCAGTGCAAAATGAATACAAACCGACAGAAAAAAAATAAATTATATCAGTAAAATGTAGTACCAATTTTTTAGGATCATCTGTAGATAAAAAAATATATTAATTTAGATTGATTTACCGAAATAGATATCAGCTACTATGTACTTCATTCATTGACCTTATATAAAAATATACTATTTCTCTTAATTTTTCATCCAGTTTAAAAAATTCAAATTCTGCCAGTAAGATATTGTGTTAATTAGGTATTGTTGAAATTGGCAACCTTTGTAATTGACAATTGTAAAACATTTCAATTTTTTATAATCTACTCAATTATTAGGAAATAGTAGTTCATGCGATTTGCCTTGCGGTAAAACAACACACAAATCTGGTTACTAATATTCGAATCCTTCAATATCTTTTGCTCTCATTTCTTAAAGACAAAAATTATATATAGACATTTGGTTGCAATCAAGCAAGCAACTTATATATAAATCGTGTTCTGAATGTTTTTATTATTTTATTTTCTTAGCCAGGTGGAAATCTTCCAATCACGAAAGGTCGCGGTTTTGTGGCCGCGAGTTCTGTCATTGTTGTATTTATTGTGTCAACCACGAGACCACAATACGAGAACGAACCTTCGACAAATTTGTTATTGCCGTTGATGTCAAAACTCGATTCTGAAGAAATGTGAATGATTATCGAGCTCATTTCAGTCCGGAACCAATTTAAGTTAACAATGAACGATAATAATAAAAATTCGAATGCATCAAATTATTTCTAATGGACATATCCAATATATAGGGCCAGACGAGTTATGCAAATAAACGTGCATTGAGAAGAAGCCAAAAAATAAATGATTGAATAAAAGAAAATGGCATTTTTGCAAATTATACATATACGTTTAAAACGTATTCAATCTACACTGATTAAACAAAATTATAACGTTTATTACTGAGTTTTGAATCATATCTATGGTGGGTAAACTTAGAACTAATGAGTTTCACCCAGTTTTAATATTTTCCGCACTCGACAGAGGGTTCACTGTGCTCAATTTCCTCACTCTTGTTTTTCAAGACTGATTATGTTATTATAATACACGTGTTTTAAAAGTTCAATAATTTTTATCATATATAAATTTCAAATTCATGTCTCATAATTTATTGTTTGTGATCTTCTTAAAAATATATTTCAAACGCGTTGTTGTTTAATTTATTAAAATTTTTGGGTTTACCTTGTCCTTTTTATATATTTATCTAGAATTAAACCTAGGGTAAATTTACGTGCTACAGTTAGTAGCGCCTCTATGGTGCGCAGAAACAATTAAAATTGAGGTAATGACAAAATAACCGTATTTGCGATCTATTTATACATTTTTTATCTATATTTATTTTTATCTATTTTTATATAAATAAAGAAAATATAATGAAATGTAAAGTACCCACAGATACTTTACAAAAGGAAATATGTTAAATGAATATTGCTATTATTACCGTAACTAACGTACGGAGTAACTAATTAAATAGAATGATGCGTTAAATATTGAAGAGCTATAACTTCTTAAGCCTATTATACCATTTAAGGTTAAATACCGATATGTCAAGACAAGTTAATATCTTATTGACAAATATATGACTAAGATAGTACATCGAATCATAAATATATATATATACATATTTTTTAAATTATTACATGTGCGGGAGCTAGGTGCTTGTTGTTACAGGGGTAAGTAGTAACAGACGTTTTTCAATAGAATCTTGTACGATATTAAAATATTTTTTTAATTTCGATTGAACATGTAACCGTCCTGCATAATATTGTCATAGCTACTATCCCGTAGGTCGACGTAATATACAGAACTGTGCAGGTCCGTCATTCAACTAATTTCAAATTTTATATATATTAATTTGCTTCAAATTCATCAATTTTTGATAATGTGTAATTATTACTTTTACTTAAAATTTATATGTGGTAATATATATGTATATATATATGTATATATATATATATGTATATATATATATATAATATATAAATATAATAAATAAAAACATATCTGCAGCAAATTAAATGACTCAATAGATTTCCGATACTTTGCTCCGCGCCGTCGATATATCCAATATTTTAATTAAAATGCAATCTTTAAGTATACTTATGAATATCTTATTCAAATTTTAATGCAAATTAAAATACGGTGTAACATATTAAATTCAAATAAGCTTAAAATAACGATGAGAAACAAGTTTTGTTCTTTTTATTTTGACATTCTAAATAAGTTTTCGTTGATGTTAATCGGTAAAGAATATTTATAGACTATAAGGAACTAATTGATTTTAATGTTTATGAATAAATGATTATTGATGAAAATTATTAAAGTAATAAATTTACTTATCACACATACATTATCATGCAAATAACTTGATGCCACAAACTTATACTGGAATCTTCACATCTATATTAGAATTAAAATTTATTGATTATTATTAATTTATTGTTTGTTTTATGTTAAAGATTATTTTTTGTTAATTTGCACTAGTATATAAATTCTTATAGTTTTTATCGTTGTTATTTAAATAATTTTTATTAATATGTCCATACTTTTTTTACAAGCCGATATTAAGTTTATATTATATTGTGAGCTCATGCTTTAAATTTTTGCACTTAACAGGTTTCAATTTTATATTCTATTCGAATAATTCAAGAAAGATAAAAGTCTTAACTTCAACAAATTGAAAAAGCTTCAGATAATAATTCCAGATAATACCTTTTATGTAGAATTGTATAAAAATAGCAACATAGAAACAACACGTAAAAAGTAAAAAAATAAATAAAAAATGAAATTCGTGGCTTCGATAAAAACCCAAAATATACAACGTGTGATTTATTTACTTTTATGGCAAGATTTCCCTAATACGTGTAATTTGTTGAAAATAAAATATTTGATTTTTTTTTCATTTTTTTTAAATTAGCCATCAAGATACAATTAAATCTTATAAACTATTGTTACATAAAAGAGAGAAAAATTAAGTAAGGATAGAAGAAAAAATTAATAATTTGGAGATCACTCCACAGTGAGAAGTCTAGTGTTTAAATATTTGAAATATGGAATTAAATTTGAAATAAGTATTTTTAAACACATTTTACACAATTATCAACATTACTTCATTTTATAGAAATTTATAGAAAAATTTGTTTGATAAAGCAAATTGCGCATAAAATTTCAGCAAGATAGACGAGAGGAAAAGTAATAAAAATTTTATAAAAAATTCAAAATAATGATAATAAATATTTAGTATTTTCAGGGAAATATACAATTTAAGATTGATGTAATTGAATACAATTCAATATATGAAATGTTTTATATGAGCACAAACAAAACCCGACGGATTTCCTATATTTTTGTATATTTAATAATAAATGAATGAATTATGAAATTATACAGACCGAACGTTGAAATTGTGTTTCACTAATCATTTATATTGAAAAATCATTAAATTGAAAATTGACCATAATTTTGTTTCTACTTCAAATGAGACACTATAGACTTCTATCAATGAAATGAAAATTAAATTACTATTTTTTCTTAAATAGTAACATATTTTCTTCTCTCATTTACGTAACAATAACTTAAAAAAAATTATTGTATATGAATTGTCATTTTTAATAAAAAATTTATTTTTTTTGCAATGTCAAGTAAAAATTGGGCAATTTCAATTTTGAACTAAATATGTATTATTTTATTTGACTAGACTCACATAGAACTCTATCTACCAATTTTTCGAACTTGTGATTTCCACCTTTCATTTATAATCCTCATAAATGCATCGTCACATAGTTTTGCACAAAATGTCACCAACACTGAATTTAATCACTTTTTATTATTTTAACACTATTATGCACTATTTAATTTTAATTATCGCTGAAACAATGGTATAACATGACATTTAGTTTTCGACATACGACCCTTAGATGACACTTACTTGTATGATATATCCTCTGGAGTAATCCTCATTCGACCATCCGAATGCTCGTAGTATCTGCTGAACTTGATCCCTTAGAAGGCGATCGAACAATCGATCTAGTAAGATCTTCAGGCGCGAGGGAATCGCGCGACAACCGTACAATAGTAAGCTTGCGACATCGAACGCAACGAACGCGTCAACGGACTCGTCCGCACTGACTGTGCCACTGTCTCCGCTACACAGGTGCCCCGGCCGCAGTCTGTCGAGCGCTGTGGAGAAACCAAAACAGTCAGTGGAGGGGATCAAGTCGACACTAACACATCGAAATAGAATATAGCAGTCACCAGTGCTGCGACACTGTAGTGACATGCCGACACACCAATACATAGGAGATATAATGTCGATGTGTTGGTGCATCCACTACTAGGCGCTACTGCGACAGTCCGAACCGCGGAGTCTCCACCCTTTTCGAAAAGGGCGTAGGTGACAGCGCGAGAACGAAACGACGAGATCTATTTCGACGAACGGATCGCAACTCTTCACTTTTTCTATCTATCTGCTCACTTATATGTTTCGTACATTACGTCCAACTCTATATAAACTACAGTCAACAATATCACCTACATAGTGTTTAGTATTATCTTTTTATCATAATCGTACCGAAAATTCATTTTTTTTGAAAACTTTGAGAAAGTTTGATTTTTGACAATTTCGAAACTTTTTTTTACATTTTGATTTTTTTTTAGTATTGAACTATTTTTTTTTCAAAGCAATCGAAATTTCGAAGCGCGTAAGCGCTATATTACATTGAAACAGATAAACATAGGCACGGAACTCATGAATATAAACAAAATTTGTACTTATTATTAAAATCAATCAATTATAAAATATCTGATAATATGATTTGCATATGTCTAATGTTTATTTTGGCGAAATTGCGTTTCTTTCACATTTTTATTGGTTCTCCAAAACCACCAGATCTGTCTTACCAAAAACCATGATCAATTCTTCATTGATTGATTTCTTCGAATCATTAATCTATTTGAATCATTAAAATTAAACGCTCTATTACTTCAACCACTTAATTACAATGTTTGATACTTTTTTCTCCGTATATTCAAAACGGCGGGAACTGCCTAACCCAAAAACTAATCAGCAGGTCTCTCCATTAATATAAATCGGATGTTTTTTAATTATTATTATTATTTATTTGTAAATTTGTTAATTGTATATCTGCATCTAATACATCAATACATCTATTCAAATCAGTTAATCCGTGTTCCCAAAATCGTCGACGAAAGTTTATATCCGCACGTAAAGATATTAAATTTTTTATTTTCTATTTTTTGTGATTACTATAAACTTATCCTACGAGAAGTTAATAATTATATTATGATAATTTTCCAAAAATTCTCTTTTTTTGGTTATCATCATAGCTTATTAAATCAATATTAATTAATATGCGTTTATATGTATGAGTCTGCTTTACAAATATTATATATCTAACCTTTTCTACCTAACGTCAATAATTTTACAACTTCAAATAAGATTTTCTTTGTTATTTGTCTTACTATGACATTCGGTACTTGTTTTGACGTTATTATATGGCTTTTTGAATGAATAGCAACTTAGTAGTTCACCAATTCAGTTGTGAATAATTAACTTTTCTCAAAGTATTTGTTGATATTTTATGATTTTATATATATGATATCTCTAATCTCAAGTGGAAATTTGATATCAAAGCTGCCTGATGTCGGACTTAGATAGAACCAGCGATCCCGGGACTAGTTTGAGCCAGCCCACCTCCAAATCGATTTTGCCAACCCTGGGGCCAGTTATAAGAAATTCACCTTTTATTCGATTTTTAATTTTATTTTCTGTAAGTTTATCTTGACCAATACACATCTTATAAATAAATATTTTTGTAAACCAAACTAAAAATTTTTCAATCAGATATTTTAAAAGTCTGATATAATAGACTATCTATTTAGTAATAAAATATATCTGGTTCTATCACGTAATAAGGATGCTTGTGGTGAGTGTAACTACTAACTTCAGCAATAAATATTGCGCCGGGCCTCTACAATATCCTTTATTACGGTCAAGACTGTATATTACCTTTAAATAAATTTCATTTCTTTTTTATTATTATTAACTCTTTTTTTTACAACTGTCCAGTAAAGGACATTCAGTAAATTTGATGAATTTACAATAATCGGCCGAAAAGGGACATTGTATACTACATTGGCATGTTGGAAAAAACAACTCAGTAGTTTAAATTTCAATATAAACGCAAAAAATCTGTATCAGATTTTGCTTCAAATTATCAAGAGTATACTACATTTAATATTTCTGCTCAGTTACGACAATTTTATTGGCGACACTATAAAGAGTTTGCGTGCGCGTGAATGCGGATCACGCAGATGCATCGTAAATTGTTTCTGAATTGAAGTGTTGTAATGTTGATGGAGCAAGAAATTTAATCAAACACGGTTTGATGTCTTCAGGGTCTATTTATTATATAATAAACTTTGCGAATAACGCAATGTGTATTTGATTATTCACACAACGATATCTTATATTACTCTAAATGCATACCGTTTCATCAGTCATTTTGGCGAATTGCATGCAATGAGTAAATGAATATAATCCTGGAAAATAATATAAAAAACAAGTGGTGCATGGCATAGTTTCTTAAGGATAATTGCTGGAACTTTCCGTACCAAAAATTAAAAAAAAGAATAATTGAAAGATTGATTTTTGAAAATATTAGGTTGTCAAATATCTCCCTTCCGCTTTTTTGCTCTTGGTTTATAATACAAAAAGGCGGAAGGGAGATATTTGACAAACTATGATTTGACTATTTGAAAAATTTGAATTTTTTTAGATTTAAATTTTTTTGGAAATTTTGAACTTTTTTCAAAGCAATGCGTGGCTGTTGTAGAGAAGAAATATCGCGTCGTAGTCGTATCGCGGATATACATTGGTACGGAACGTTCAAAATCTAAACAAAATTTATGCTTATTATTATTATTAAAATTTCTATAAAATATCCTATAATTTGATGTGCATATGATTAATGATCATTTTTGACCGCCGCATGACATTATTTTCACTTTTTTTACTCGATCTCCAAAACCTGCTTTCCTAAAAATTTATTCAGTTTTTCACTTTGTCAATACAAGTAAAATTTTTAGAATCTCTGTAATTTACATTATATTTGTTAATATCTATGAAAATTTGAATTATTATTTTTACGATAAGGGGCCGTTCAAGTATTACGTAAGCACTATAGGGGGCCGGGGGGTTATTGATTTGCTTATTTTGCTTATTTTTGGTTAGAACTTTTGTTTTCTTTTGCTGACAAAGGGGAGGGAGGGGGGTAAATAATTGTAGTAAATCTGCTTACGTAATACTCGAACGATCTCTAATATGAATTGCAAAGATCTGCAAGATCCTTCAAAAACTCTCTAAATGAAAGTAAGTCAATTCTAATCAGGTGAAAACTAAAATGTTGTAATTATACATTATGTTGTGATTATACATTATAATCCCAATTTATATTTGACCCACAGCCTGCATCTTGCACAGAAATTTATTACAATAGACTATTTTTACAGATGCGCATCCCAAAAGCAATAGTAATCAACTATTCAATCATAACAATGACAAAGAGCAAAGAGGACGTCAGTAGTTCCTTTTCGAAGACAAAGCTTTTACGCGGGCCGCGGTCACTTTATGTCGTTCGACGCGAGTTCGAGCGAGATAACAATATCGTCACATCGGTCGTTTGCCCCCACCCAACGAGTGGGAGCGGTCTGTTTTGTCGTCTGAGCCGGGACACGAGTGAGCGCACGGGAGGGGGAAGGAGCGCCGACGAACGCGACAGAAGCGCTACGCGATGCGTTGCCCTGTCCTTGTCGCGTGTTTGTCGGGTCGCAAGCGTACAGCGTACGCACGACTGGCCGAATAGATCACTACGAGAAACTCGAACGGCAACGGGCCACAGATGGCAGCAGCAGCACGTTTTCGATTCTTATTAGATAGAAAGTAGTAGTTACAAGGATTTATTTTATTAATAGCGTAGATTTTTGGACTTAACACTATTTGAGAAGTCACGTATCGATAGTGTAAAATGTAATTTAACGTACTCTTTTTTTGTTAAACAAGAATTAATTATGAGGTTGCTCTAATCAAAAGTTTTACACTAAGATAAGACAGAAAAATTCGAAATTTTAATTCAATTTTATAAATTATATATTGAAATTAAAAAATTAAGCTAGTGATCGCCATGGATCACGATCGTGCCTTAAGACAAATTACTGAAACTTCCCGTACCGTAATTTCTTCTTTTTTAAATTTGAAAAAAAAAAGATTTCTTGAATTTTGATGTTTTGAACATTTTTGATTTTTTTGAAAATATTAAAAACATTTTAAAAAAATAGATTTTTTTTACTTTTTTCAAATTCTTGAAAATATCCAACTTTTTTAAAAAAAATGAAATGTTTGAAATTCTTTAGAAATTTGATAGTTTTCGAAAATTTTGAATCTTCTTGAAAGTTTTGAAACTCATTTAAGTCGAATTATCGACACTGTCGAATATGTTGAGGACATTTTTGTTTGAACTGTATAAGTGAACTTTTTTAAATCTTGGAACCTTGGAATAAAATATATACATTATGTATGGCAACGTATGAGCTAATAATAGTTATTTGATTGCTAACTATTAAATAAAGAAAAACATTTTTATAGAAAATCGATTATTGTGTTATGTATACTTACAATAATCGCAAAATATCTGGATACTATCAATTAATAAACAAAAATTAGCAAAATGTTCATTTAACTAATTATTCTTGGAATTTTTAATTATTTTTTTTCAAATTCATTATATCCTTTTTAGAAAAATAATTAAAAATCATTATTAAACATGATCAAGTTAGGGGGCATCCATTAATCAAGTGAGGTTTTTAGGAGGAGGAAGGGTTTGACAAAAAATCACGAAATATCACGTGGGGGAGGGAGATGTATAGTAAGGTATCACGTGCCTTTATTTTTTAACTGACGTTTTTAGAAAAAATCAAGCATTTAAAAAAAATACAAAAATTTTACAGTTTTATCACGTAACTAAAAATACACGTGATGTTTGGTGGGGAAGGGTGATAATTAGTGGACGCCCCCTTAAAGAGATTTATTTGATTTTAATCGTCAATATAAGTTGTTATTTTGTTTTATCTAAACTAATTTCAAGAATAAAATTATCCATTATGCTGTGTCCACAATACTTTTACTGCGCTTATTCGGTTTTTTACAACTCCCTGATATTTTTATGTATTCCCTATAAACAGAAAATATTCCATTGAAGATAA